CGTTACACAATATGCGTTGTATTTATTGATTTGCAATTGTTCACTCAATAATATACATGTCAATATACATTTCACTCTTTTTACACTCTTTTTAAATTGCCTGATTCTGCATCAGGATTTAATGGTGTTCATTGGTACTAAATTGTTACCATTTTATTCCGTCGTGTAGTTTCGTTTTTATTTAAATAACATACCAAATATTCTCCTTTGACATTTCGCCGTTCTTTAACAAATAAACCTAATGGCTTGAAATATGTTCATGCTACATTAGTACAGTAGAACACTTGTCCATACTAGATGCTTTTGGTCGCTATTGCATAGTTCCAAGGAAAATCAATATAATTTATAACCGTAAAATGGGGAATCGATTTAATACGAAAGGGTATCATTCTATTAATTATTTTTTTGAATAATAATAATAATAATAATAATAATAATATAATTTAGAGTGTGTTAAAAATTGTTTAATGGAACCCAAGTATTGTACAATATTTACAATTGTATAGTTTGTGTTGTAAAATTATACTTTGAATAAACTTTATTATAATGATATGTATTGAATATTATTTATTCATAATCTTGAAAGACAATAATACTTTTAATGACAAACTCCGGCGGAATTGTTTTATTCGTCAAAACAGGCTCTAGACAGTGGAAAATTTGGGAGATATTTTAATATGAACCTTATATTAAACTACCATTTTGTGGATTTGGAAGGCTCCTGGAAAGTAAACCGTACAAGTGAACGCATTGCTTTATCTTTATCAAGGCTATTTTCCTGTTACACGGAAGGAATGAAATAAACAACAATAAAAATGTTATTTGAAAGAGAATCTACTTTTCGATTTCAATTACAGGATTCGGGTTGTCACCGACAGTGTCTGAAACGCAATCACCACTGTTGTTTTCGACACATATGATATCCGAAGTTCGAACAGCACGGACTTGTATGGAGCCAGCGTCATCAATTCCCGATATCTCTCGCTTTCTCTTCGCTTCTGTACACCGAACGATCTCATTAATTCCTTGAACCCAACCAGAAAAGCTTCCGCAACGAGGGTATCCCGTAG